AATCTCGGCTCACTGCAACCTCCGCCTCCTGGATTCAAGCGATTCTCCTGCCTCTGCCTCCTGAGTAGCTGGGATTATAGGCATGTGCCATCGCGCCCAGCTAATTTTCATATTTTTAGTAGAGATGGGGTTTCTCTATGTTGGTCCTGCTGGTCTTGAACTCCTACCTCAGGTGATCCACCCACCTCGACCCCCCAAAGTACTGAGATTACAGCTGTGAGCCATCATGGCCAGCCTGAACTGGTTTTTAACACTTAACTGGTTTCCTCATTTACAGTTAAGCACCACATACCGACAGACCAGATGTATGATAGTGGTCCCATAAAATTACAAGTGTGTAGTACCTGATACTACCTAGGTTTGTGTGAATACCTCACAGAATAACTGCACACTCTGTGATGTACTTACACAATCACCTGACTATGCATTTCTCAGAATGTGTCCCTGTCGTTAAGCAGCCCATGACTGTGCTTAAATCTTTACCATGAATTCATTTTATATTTGTACAAGAGTCTTTGTTTTACCTTATCTTTAAAATGTATCATTTAACAGTTTAATGGAGCTCCCAAGAATTCTTGTCCAAAGTTGCATGGACTTCAGGTTAAGAATTCCCGAGTCAAGCCGGGTGTGGTGGCTCACACCTGTAATCCAAACACTTTGGAGGCCAAGACGGGCAGATCACCTGAGGTCGGTAGTTCAAGACCAGCCTGACCAACATGTTGAAACCTCGTCTTTAAAAAAAAATTAAAAACAAAAAAGAATTCCTGAGTCAGAACATAGAGTCCATGGTGATAAATTGCAGGAAATTCTACCAAAAGGTAGACAATCTGGGATCAAACATACCTGAGACGACTTACTTAGCTAGCTTTAACCAAGTCACTTAACCTTTGAGTCTTTATATTAAGAAGATGGAAGAACCAGCCTGACCAACATGGCACCCTGTCTCTACTAAAAATACAAAAATTAGCCATGCATCCCAGAGGCGGAGGTTGTAGTGTGCTGAGATTGTGCCACTGTACGTACTCCACCCTGGGTGACAGAGCAAGACTCTGTCTTAAAAAAAAAAAAAAAAAAGATGGAAGAAACTGCTGCCTAGTGGGATTGTGAGGATTTACAAAAATGTATGTAAAGTAACTGGTGTTGTTACACGGTAACTTTTATTCCGGTTAAATGTTACTTTTTTTTTTAGCAATGTTTTCTTAAACTGTGTATTATGTTACAGGAAGGTGCTAAGGAATTTCTGATGTTGCATGTTTTGACATAAGCACCAACCAGGTCTGCGTTTTAGATGGGTTATACATAGGCTCCTGTTGCAAATAGATGACTTACAGAACAGTTTATAAACTAATGCCATATTCTAGTGACAGTAGTTGTAGAAAACACTGGAATGGAGATGAGAGCCTTTTCAAAAGTCAAACTGATAAGATTTAACAACAGATTGGATAGAATAATGGTTACTTATTGTGTGCTATGTATCAGCAATTTGAAGTGCTTTATTTTTATTATTTTGGCTAATGCTAACAACTCTATTACATAAGTATGATTTTTATCCATGTTTTATAGACTGCAGAGAGATGGTGTAGCTTCCTCAAAATCCACACAGCCAATAAATAACTTGATTGGTTAATTTGGTGGAATATGGCATCCTTAAATACAGCTAGTGCTCGACTTATGACCACGATTGGTTCTGACAGACCAGTCGTAACACAATTTGGTCATAAGTTGAGTAGGCTATATGCACGTGGAGATGGTAGTGCTGCCGGAAGCTGGTCCGCACTGTCGTACGCCCAGCTGGGCAACATTTGTGCTGCCAGACGCGGAGCAGTCGTGGCTAGCGGTTGGGGTCATAAAGTCGATCAATACCTGTAAGTTGAAGAAGGCCAAGGTGGGTGAATCACCTGTGGTCAGGAGGTCAAGGCCAGCCTGACTAACATGGTGAAACCCCATCTCTCCTGAAAATACAAAATTAGCCAGGCATGGTGGCAGGCATCTGTAATCAGCCTCCCAAAGTGCTGGGATTACAGGTGTGAGCCACCATGCCCAGCTGAAGAAAGTATTTTCAAGGAAGAAGTTACCGACTGCATTTGCTGCTGAGAGGTCAAGTAGACAGTGGAGCTCATTGAGGACTTTGTAGTTTCTCTAGAATGGTGCAGAGGAAAGCCTGACAGAATGGGTTGAAGTAAGACCATCAGGTGAAGAACGTGGTTATGTGGTACTTAATGACACGTGATTGTTTTCCTTTTTCTTTTTCTTTTTTTTTTAGTAGACGGGGTTTCACCATGTTGGTCAGGCTGGTCTTGAACTCCCGACCTCTGGTGATCCGCCCACCTTGGCCTCCAAATTGTTTGGATTACAGGCATGAGCCACCATGCCCATCCTACCTGATTGTTTTTCTCTTATTCTGACCTGTAGTTAGGTCTTAAATTAGCATCACCTAAATATGATGTTACTTGTATATCTTCAAAATTGGTGCTTGACTGATCTACTGAAGCCTGTTCTAAAATGCCAAAATGTCCTGTTGTTGAGAATGCATGTTTAGTTGGAGATTTGAGGTGAAATGCATTAAGGGCTTTGGACCCTCTTACCGGATATCACTTTGAAACACATGATTTCTGTTACTATCAGCAAAACCACTGAAGCAGTTAGAGATTCTAATCAGCAGTCAGACTCAAGAGATTCAAATATTATGTTTACCAAAGAAAGATACAAGGCAAAAGATAGGGTAGATATAGCTTCTTCATCGCAGCAGAGGCCAAGCCATTATATCTAGCAGTTACCTAGATTCACTTCTTTTTTCTCCCATTTACCCACAAGAGGCATGTATGGCTTCCCTAGATAAGGACCAAGGTGTGTTTAGGATACTTTGATACATAAAAGCTTTAACACCTTTTGCCTGTCAATCTGTTGTTCCCGTGTAGGTATAAGGCCTCCATGCCATTCAATAGCTAGCTGCTCCATACCAGGTGCAATATGGGAAACAGATACAACACTCTCCAGTAGTCTCTCCGGTTTCCAAGAAGACTGTATTATGGGAGACTGAGGTTATTCTCAAGCAGGCTGTATTATCCCAGACCTGATACTAATCCTTTCCTCATATACCTCTAGTGATTCAATTCATTCAACAAAATCTAGGCACAATTTATTCAACAGATTTTTAAGGGACTGTTGTGGCAGGGACTGACAATCTATCAGTAAACAAAACAGACAAAAATCTCTGATTTCATTGATCTTACATTCTAGGAAAGAAAATAAATTGCATAGTAATTGTAGTAATGTTAGATGATAAATGCTATGGACAAAAATAAGACATTGAAGTTACCGTGTATGTGTCCAGAATTTTGCATTATTAAATATGGTTGTGGGAGGAGACCTCCATGAGGTGACCTTTAAATAGACACTTGAGGAGGTAGGAGAGCTAGCTTTGTTATCTCTGGGGATATGTGTTTCAGGGAGAACAGGTTTAGACCTGATAGACTTTGCTGGGTAAGTTTCAGGAAGTACAAGAAGGACAGTAAGACTGGAGCTGACAAAGCAAAGGCCAAGAGATAGGCAAAGTACCTTGAGGAAGGAGGGGGTTAGAAATTGCTGCCCAAGAGGCCAGGCATGCTGGCTAACGCCTATAATCCAAGCACTTTGGAGGTCAAGGCAGGCGGATCATCTGAGGTCAGGAGTTCAAGACCAGCCTGACCAACATGGTGAAACCCCGTCAAAAAAAAAAAAGATTAAAAAATAAATAGGCCGGGCGCGGTGGTTCAAGCCTGTAATCCCAGCACTTTGGGAGGCCGAGGCAGGTGGATCACAAGGTCAAGAGATCGAGACCATCCTGGTCAACATGGTGAAACCCCGTCTCTACTAAAAATACAAAAAATTAGCTGGGCATGGTGGCACATGCCTGTAATCCCAGCTACTCAGGAGGCCGAGGCAGGAGAATTGCCTGAACCCCGGAGGCAGAGGTTGCGGTGAGCCGAGATCGTGCCATTGCACTCCAGCCTGGGTAACGAGCGAGACTCCGTTTCAAAAAAAAAAATTAAAAAAAAATAAAATAAAATAAATAAATAAATAAATAAAAATTTTAAAAAAGAAATTGCTGCCCAAGAAATAAACATGGAAAGGAAAAAGGAAAGACTGATTTCTATAGCTTACCAGTTGAATTCTGCCTCTACAAAGCATAAATTAACATTTTAAAAATCAAAATCAATAATCAATTTATTTTTATTTTGTCCCATAAAGGTTATAGTATTAAAAATCTGACTAGGCAGGGCACACTGGCTAATGCCTATAATCTGAGCACTTTGGGAGGCCAAGGCGGGCAGATCACCTGAGGTCAGGAGTTCCAGACCAGCCTGGCCAACGTTGTGAAACCCCATTTCTACCAAAAATATCAAAAGTTAGCTGGGGGTAGTGGTGGGCGTCTGTAATTCCCAGCTACTCAGGAGGCTGAGACTGGAGAATTGCTTGAACCCAGGAGACAGTGGGCCAAGTTGCAGTGGGCCAAGATCACACCATTGCACTCCAGCCTGGGCAACAAGAGTGAAACTCCATTTCAAAAAAAAAAGAAAAAAAAAAGTGAATAAAACTTATTTGGTGGTGGAGGGTGGTTGTTGTGATGGGAAGTATCTAGGTTCCTTAATCTTACACTTTTCATTTACTGGCTTAAAAGTACAGCTTAGTGAGATAAATGTGTAATTGTTATATTATACTAGAATAATCTGGCCCTGCATTTTAAAAAGTGCAAAAAAAATAAAGCTATGATTTCTAACATAGAAGGTAAATTATTTTATAATTTAAATTATTAAATATAAAAATAAATTTTCCTTTTGTCTTCTGACAGCCAAATGATGAGTCCATTATTCTCTCAATTAAAGGCTACTCTAAGTTAAACTATATTAGCTATTTTGCTGATTTAAATATTTACATCTTTTTCCTCTAATGCACAGGAATGGAAACTGAAAGTGGAAATCAAGAAAAGATAATGGAAGAAGAAAGCACTGAAAAGAAAAAAGAAGTTGAAAAAAAGAAACGGTCACGAGTTAAACAGGTGCTTGCAGATATTGCTAAGCAAGTGGACTTCTGGTTTGGGGATGCAAATCTTCACAAGGATAGATTTCTTCGGGAACAGATAGAGAAATCTAGAGATGGATGTAAGTTTGCTTTAGTAAAGGAACCAACTTTTAGATAATGGTTGCCTGTGAATTTACTTCTATATAAAGTAGTATATTCTTTTTTTTCCTTTTTTTTTTTTTCTTTGACATGGAGTCTTGCTCTGTTGCCCAACCTGGAGTGTAGTGATGCAGTCTTAGCCCATGCAACCTTTGCCTCCAAGGTTCTAGGGATCCTCTTGCGTCAGTTTCCCTAGTAGGGACTACAGGCACACGCCACCATGCCTAGCTAATTTTTGTATTTTCAGTAGAGATGGAATTTCACTGTTGGCCAGGCTGGTCTCGAACTCGACTTCGTGATCTGCCTGCCTTGGCCTCCCAAAGTACTGGGATTACAGGCATGAGCCACCATTCCCGGCCTAAAATAGTGTATTCTATAGTGTATGTATTCATTTCTGCAAATATGTTTCTTATAATTTGTTTTAATTTTTATTTAGTGAATGACAATCTTCTAAATATTTAGACTCTTATCGAGTTTAGGCTATATTAAATAAGCAATTTCAAATCAAAGCTTATCTTTTTAAGTATTTTGGGGTTTAATTGCTTCAGTAATCATTTAACATGTGTAACTGGAGGTGACAGTGCTATACTTTAGTTCATATAAGGCATTTCACCTAGCTCAATGTCATTTTTTGCTTCACTTTTTTTAAAAACTTTTGAGGCAAGATCTTTTTTCCTTAGGCCGGAATGCACGGACTCTGTCTACTCATTCCACCCTCTGCCCGCCACCTCCACCCCCTCAGCTCCACTCAAGCAGTCCTCCAACAGCCTCCCCAGTAGCTGGGACCACAGGCAGACATTGCCATGCCAGCTAATTTTTTTTTCTGGCATTTTTAGTAGAATGGGATCCAGATATCCTCTTAGAATGTCTAGATATTGCTAAGCAATAATTTGTTTAAATCTTAATATCTAATTATATACACTAAAATGTGACATTTTATGTCTGCCAAATATGCAATGCCATTTTAGACCTTATACCTAAACAGTAACCCCCACACAATATTATTAATGCTAAATGGCACAGAGGGGGTTGTTTTTTCTACATGAAGTGTCCCTGTGTCTCCTAGGCTGGAGTACCGTGGTGTGATCTCATGGCAGCCTCCACCTCCCAGGTTCAACCAGTTCTTTTACCTCAGCCTCAAGAGTAGCTGGGATTACAGGCACTTGCCACTGCACCCAGCTAATTTTTTATATTTTTAGTAGAGTTGGGATTTCACCAGGTTGGCCAGGCTAGTCTTGAACTCCTAACTTCAGGAAATCCACCCGCCTCAGCCTCCCAAAGTGCTGTAATTATAGGCGTGAGCCACCATGTCCGGTCTGAGGGGCAGGTTAAACCTGTTGATAGACTAACGCTATCATTGTTTTCATTTTCATTAGATGTTGATATATCACTACTTGTGTCTTTTAACAAAATGAAAAAATTAACTACTGATGGGAAGTTAATTGCCAGAGCATTGAGAAGTTCAGCTGTTGTAGAGGTAAGAATTAAGAATGACTGCAGTTTTATTATATCCCCTAATTATAGTTTTATTAACGTAATGTACTGTTTTAAAGCTTGATTTGGAAGGCACCAGAATCAGGAGAAAAAAACCTCTGGGGGAAAGACCAAAGGATGAGGATGAGCGCACTGTGTATGTGGTAAGCAAGAGCCCAGATCCCCAGTCAGAAACTGACATAGAAGCATAATTAAGATGAAAATTTATTGACATTCTGAAAATAAGGATTGTGAAAAACTAATCTTGCTTCTAATTTATCCTAGGAGTTACTTCCCAAAAATGTTAATCACAGTTGGATTGAAAGAGTCTTTGGGAAATGTGGCAATGTAGTTTATATAAGTATACCACATTATAAGTCTACTGGAGATCCGAAAGGGTTTGCATTTGTAGAATTTGAAACAAAAGAACAAGCAGCAAAAGCAATTGAGGTAGGTCCAGATCCTAAAAAGGAAAAAAAAGAAAATATAATAACAAGTATCAAAATACTAAAACTTTTTTGCAATCATTTCAGTTTCTTAACAACCCACCAGAAGAAGCACCAAGAAAACCTGGCATATTTCCTAAAACAGTGAAAAATAAGCCCATTCCAGCCTTAAGAGTTGTGGGTGAGTATTTTTCAATATTTAAATAGATGTAATTGCAGTATGATGAAACTAATGATGGCAATTTTTATAGAAGAGAAGAAAAAGAAAAAGAAGAAGAAAGGCCGAATGAAGAAGGAAGACAATGCCCAAGCCAAAGAGGAAAACATGGACACAAGCAACACCAGCGTCAGTAAAATGAAAAGATCCAGACCCACATCTGAGGGCTCTGATCTAGAGTCTCCTGAAGCCCAAAAGCAGCCTTCAAAGAAAAAGAAAAAACGGGATAAAGTTGAAGTATCCAGCTTACCTGAAGTCAGAACAGGGAAGAGGAAGAGAAGTAGCTCTGAAGATGCAGAATCCCTAGCTCCCCGATCAAAAGTAAAGAAAATTATTCAGAAAGACATGGTTAAGGAAGCTTCAGAAGTTTCCAAAGAAAATAGAGGTAAATCTCCCAAGGTTTTAATTAGAAAAATTAAGCTTCTATTCACCCACTTCACAGCTCGATGTCTTAACTGACTTTTATATTTCAAGATATAGAAATCTCTACTGAAGAGGAAAAGGATACTGGAGATCTAAAAGATAGCTCTCTCTTAAAAACAAAAAGAAAGCACAAGAAAAAACATAAAGAGAGACATAAAATGGGAGAAGAAGTTATACCATTAAGAGTACTATCAAAGTAAGTCTGTGGTTTAAATTCTGCTGTCGTTGGCTTAACAATCCATCACCATTGCTAAAGTGCAATTCCAATTTTGTTCAACAGAGTTGCATATTAGCAACAGTAATGGCCTGTAGCCATGAACTGCACACAAAGTGGGCATTAACACAATCGCTGATTAAGTAGGAACCACCACACTCAAACATGGAAGCACTTATTTTTGTCATGTCACAGCAAGTGCCTCCATGTTAAAGTAGAGGGGGTCCCTTAACAGACTTTAAAATACAAAATGAAGCTTAAATATAGGAGAAACGGTTAATACAATTAAGTTCTTTTCTAAAAAGCTTATAAAAATGTAAAAGGAAGACTTACCATCACCAAAACATGGAAGCACTTACTTCTTTCGTTTCAAAGCAAGTACATCCACGTTTAAGTGGTGGGGAGCCCAGTCTTGGAAAAACTTAGAATTCTTTCAACAAAAGCTAAATAACCGTAAAATATAGCAACAGAACAATTAACAAAAGGTGTGCTGGCTTGGAGACACCTCCACTGAAACATGGAAGCACTTACTTTTGTTTCACATAGCAGGTACCCCCATGTTAAAGCAAAGGGGATCCCTTCAACCTCTATAATAGAATGAGGTTAGCATGTTCTATTTTGGAGAAATAAGTTGGATTCACTCCTACTAAAACATGGAAGCACTTACTTAAAAAGTCACAGAAAGCACTTCCATGTTAAAGTTGAAGGGAGCCCACCCACGTAAAACTTCTTTGGACCTGAGAGTAGCTAGAGCTGGAGAAAAACCAAGCAACATACCTTTTGAAGAAAAAAATTTTCTTTTACCTTCCCAAATTAGTTTTCAAAGATTCCTGTTCTCCTCCAGAAGGGTAAAAGGCAGAGACTTCAGCCACTTCTATTTATACTATTCTTAACTCCTGAATTCCTTTTGCCTTTTTATCTCAGAGAATCATTACAAGAGCCTTTTGTTATTTTAATGTATCAGCTCTCAGGGAATGTATGATCCTGGGTGGGTTTGGATCTTTTTTTTTTTTTTTAAAGTATACAGATGTCAATGTTAACAGCTAAAACCATTACCACAAGATATCTTCCTCTTAAAAAAAAAAAAAAATCTCCTATCTGCTTGTTTGATGGCATAGATTAGGGCAACAATAAGTGCTCCCACCGAGCTAAGAGAGGCATTGTGTTTCTATCTGGAGGAACTCGAGCTGTTTGAAGAAACATCTACATGTTAAATGTATGTAAATAAATAAATTGCTTCCATGGGGTGTTTTGTTCTACTTAGAAATTCTTTTTGATTCAAGCAAATACTAAGGAATGTTATCTTTCAAATTGGAAGCAGTTTAATAAATGTTTAATCTCTCACTTTTCCCACAGAGATGACTGATACTAGTAAATGTTACTAGTTAATTAAGGAATTGATGCTGAAATTGTACTTTCATAAGTTAAAATACTTGAGACAACTCAAAAATTTAATTGGCAGTCTTAAAACATTTAATCTGAATCTTGGGGGAAAGGGAACGCCCTTTGCTTTTTTGCTAGCTAAATGGCTGTAGAACCCAAGAAATATTTTGAATTTGTGTTTAAAGAAACTGGAAAGTTGGGAGGAGGAGTTGCTCCAAGTCATTGTGAATGTATATATTTAGATATTTCCATATTTACTTTTTATATTTAGTCATCTGTTGTCACTATTTTGTTTCTTTTCTTGTAGGAGCGAATGGATGGATTTGAAAAAAGAGTATTTAGCACTACAAAAAGCTAGCATGGCTTCTTTAAAAAAAACAATATCCCAAATAAAATCAGAGTCAGAAATGGAAACAGACAGTGGAGTACCTCAAAAGACTGAAATAAAAAATGAAAAAAGTAAAGGTCACTGATAGTTTTGGCAACATTATAATATATATGAAAATGCTATCTCTGAATTGTTACAGGATGAACTTTAATTTTTAAAAACTTGATTATTCCATGTCATTATTAGAACAATTCTTGATGTGCTAAGTTATCCAGATGCGTGATTTACTCTAGATATAAGAATATTTAAAAGGCTCATTTTTAACAATTTTTTAAATAACCTGAGTTTTCTCTACAGTTTTCATTATTAATCAGATGAGTGCAGAGTGTGTAGATTCAGCAAGTTTGCAGGAATGAACATTGTAGTTTCTCACCTGTAATTTCGTTCTGCAGTATGAACCACAAACAGGAACAATTTAAAGCCAGATTCTTAGGAATTCAAAATTAGGATGCATTTAAATTCTCATTTCTTGTAAAAATAAATGTTCACATTTTAATAATAATGTATTTAAAACACAGTATCCTATAACATTTTTTAACTTTTTTGAGTCAAAATTTGCCTGTTCCTGTGTTCAGAGGGGCTATTTTAAAGGCTTTATGGATGCTCTTCTAGCAGGAACAGTTTGAATGTAGAATAATAAAACTTTCTGAATTTTATTTCATAGTATTTTGAAATAAGCAGTATGACATATAAAATAACCTTTAATTGCTTATTTTAAAATTAAACATGTTTTAAATTATTTAAATTTGCCTCAGAAATTATTCTAAGGTAGTTCTTATAAGTATTAAATTGTTAAGTGTAAGAGATTAAGTCCTGGTCTTTTTCCTTTTCTAATCAACAGCCAGCAGTGAAGAGTGTCGCACCCAGGAGAAAGTTAATGCATCAGGACCACAGTTCGTGAGTGGAGTGATTGTGAAGATCATTAGCACAGAGCCTCTACCTGGCAGGAAACAAGTCCGGGTAATGATTTTGATCCCCTAGGGCATTTATTCCTTTCTTTTCTTATTAACTTGCCTGTGTGATAATATTTTGAATATGGAAAACAAAACAAATTAAATTAGAATTTGTGCCTCTATGGTAAACTACCTATACAGCTTTGATTCCATGGTAACTCTGGTTTAATTTTGAAGCAAAATCTGACATCACTGAATTAGTTTTATAGTAAGTACAGTTTAAACGTCCTTCTCTATAGGAAAATTGTAACTTTTGCTTCTTTTTATTGGCATTGATTTTTTTTTGTATTATCCATGTGCTGATTATCTTTAAACTTTAATTATAGAAAAGTATAAAATACTCCTGAAAACCTATAAAAATGTTGCGTGCAACTGCCAGTAAATCCGTAGTTCTGTAATACAGAACTATGCTACGAATTGCTGTACACACAGGTTTTATGATCTTTTTTCACTGTATACAGTCTATCTTCTATACCTTTTATACCACGATGATAGCAATACTTCTTTCTGTTAAGGAAATCATATACTTTTGTGTGAGAGTACCATATTTTATTTACCCTAACCCTGCCTGTCACCCTTTTAAAATGTGAATGCTTTTAAGTATTTTCTTTTACTGATATTCATCATCACTTAGTATATTGTTTTGATTTTACATAGACTCATATCAGTCACAGGTTTTAACTTCAATACCATTGAGGTGGTTGTTAATCTGTAAGAACTCCTTATCTGAATCTACAGATAAGAAGTATCCTACAATCTTATCCTGCAATCTTGTAGGTGTCACTAAAATACAAATTTTGATTATCTTTCCAATATTGGTGAAGGATTTAGCCAAACCCAAATTGCTGTTACCAGGTTGCATTTCAGGAGAACGCTGAAAATTGAGGGATGTAAATGCTTCTGTGGTTAGTCAGATTGCAGAAGATTTAATACAAAAATTACTCAATGTTATTTGGAATCACTTATTAAATAACTTTTGTTATTTAAATGGTAACTATATCAATTACGAATTCGTAATTTATGATCATCAAAATCATAAAATCAGTCCCTGCATTAATCCAGTTAAGTAGTTACTTACATTTTGCTGAAACAAAAACTGAGCTTTGCTGGTGGTTACAGCTGTCTGTGACTTGCCCATGTGATTACCAGGCTAATTTGTCATTCTGTGGGTTTTAAATTCTAAGAGTTTTAAATCAAGAGATTAGCCTGACATTATAATGGATATTTAGTAAATATCTTTTGAGTTGTAGTAATTGAATCTGCTCAAAAGTCAGTTATAAAACTCGTTACTGCTAGTGACCACAGTCAAATTTCACCAATTTAATACTGAATTTTTTACTTGCTTTATGATACTAAATAACTAGATAAAGAAGTTGGAAGGACTAGCAAATATATTTCTCTACAGTTCTTTTTTTTTTTTTTAATTGGTTCGGCAAACAGTTACTAAATGCCTGTTTCCTGATAGTTTGCTGAGTGTTAAGATGAGTTAAGATCTAGTCCCTAGCTTCTAGAGACTCACAGATTTTATTATATATTCTTTATTATATACTAATAAACTTTTCTTATTCTGTGATGAAATAATACTCCCAGATATTGCTCAACTCTTTCCATAATTCAAACATCTAAAAATTCAGCATCTGAAAGTAATCTAAATTAGTTGTGTCTTGAAAATTTAGGTTAAAACTTAAGGAAGGTAAGATAAATAATACTTTTCTTCTCCTATTTAGATATCTCCAGTTATTTCTTTAGCTTTGTGAATGGAAGTTGATGAATTAGGAATTAGTGTAACATTCCTGCATAAATGCATTGTATACTCTGTAAAACCTGCTGGGAAAAAAAAAAGTTGATTAAGAATGCAGGAATCTGGTTAATTTGCCCTCACAGCAGGCAGTGTAGGTAAAAGTTTTCTTTGCTGGGTGACCACAAATTGTTTAGAAGAGGTTACTTTGGTATTTTTTTCAGAAAGTAAGAGCTCTTAAACAATGTGGAAACCTAGTAATTTTTTTTTAGGTTTGGTGAAACTTTTTTTCATGAGTTGTTATTAAAAGCTGAATATTTGTACACATATTTTAAAGTCATAGTGATTTTCTACAGGTGAGTAAAAACAAACCTCCCTTAATCCTTTTTTTTTTTTTTT